ATTTAATTTTGATGAGCATTTGTTAGCCACATAGGAAAATTAGTTTTTGCGAACCACTGTAGTCACCTTTCTGCGACGGCGTCAGCATCATTGCTTATTTCCATAGACGCCCTGCCGTCAAAGTGGTGCCCCCCAGCTGGCCCCACTCCCAGCCCCTGGCTGCACAAAGTTGTGCACGAACTGCATCGTCATCGGGCATCGAATCTTCATCATGTTGGCGGCCCAAGAGTCCAGCATGAAAATGGGCGGGCCCTCGTTTTCTGCACCTTCAATAAAGAGCAAATGCAATCGCATACACACACAGAGGGATTTGCTCTCGCACACACACACACATAGATGCCTTGGCCCTGAGAGTTGTGAAAATAAACACCTCGTTAAAGCTGCAGCAGAGGCATAAAACATGCAGCGCCAACTTCGACATCGTCATCATTGGCATTGCCATAGGTAAATCTATATATGAACCGAGTCCAACCACTCCAGCCCGCCCACCGCCCGCCCAGCCCAGCCCAGCCTCGTCCGCCGCCGCCTCTGCCCAATTCGGACGCTCGACAGCCGTCCGAGGCTGGCAAATAAATTGACGTGCGCTTTGTGTTGGATTTGTATGCATCTAGATAAAGTTTCCTGGCTCAAGCGGCGACTGCTGCGGCTGCTGATGCTGCTGCAGTTGCTGTCGTCGCATCTCTCGTTCTCCTGATCTGGTTCTTGTTCTCTGTTCCTCTGTCTGGCTCCTGGCAGTAACTGCATTTGTGCAGCACTCTCTCTGTGTGAGTGTCTATGTGTGTGTGTGTATATGAGTATATGTTTTTGTGGCACCTTTGGGTGCGGTAATTGTAATTGGTTTTTGTTGCAGCTGTATTCGGATTGTTGTTGTTGTTGTTGTTGTTGCTGCTGTTGTTGTTGTCTGCTGCAAAGTGTTGGCTGCCTCACGTTTCGGGATAAATCATTTAATTAGTCAGACAATGAGTTGCAGGCTCCATCTTCTTCTGCTTCTTCTTGCTCTTCTTCTTCTTCTTCTTCTTCTGCATTTTCGACGCCATTGCTGTTTTGGCAAAGGTCAACAATGTCATTGCTGTTGTTCGCCAATGGGGAGAGGCGTGTTCCTTGGCTTTTTACTGTAATTGAAATATGAGCAAAGCAGCGGCCAAATGCAATGATTAGCTTTGTTTATTGTTTGCATGTGATTATTTGATATCGTTGCTGACACGCCCAGCGCCTGCAGCGCCTCGCTTATAAATTCACATAACACAGAACATGCACGCACACACACACACACACACCTACACAAATCCCGTCTATTTTGCAGTAATTAAAGGTAATTTGTTTCAAAATTAACAAATTTATGCAGACAATTTGAATACATAATGAAAGTCAAAGTAACAGCACTTATATACTAAAATAAATGAGTGCAAATGCTCGTCAATTTGTATATAAAGCGTTCTCCCTAGCTTAGCACTGCAGTGTATGCTGAATGCGTTCCACAGGCCGAGACTTCCACGTTCCACACTCACAGCGCAGATAACAAGCAGCCAATAAATGTTTCCCATTGGCTGACGGCTTGCATGAGCGCGCGATGCGAGTGCGAGCGAGCTAGCGAGAGTGACAGAGAGCGAGAGTATCTAAAGGGGCGGCTGTGTAGCAAAGCGAGCAAGTGGGAATTACAGTTGTTGTTGCTGTCGCTATTGTTGTTGTTCGTGTTGTTGCTGTTGCGGCTGCTGGCAACATATAAATCCAATTCATTTAATAATTGCCAACGAGATGGAGCTCATTATCAGGAGTACTTTGCACGGCTTTGCCAGAGAGTGAGAGAAAATGGAGACCCCCTTATGTATGCCTCTGTGCCTCTGTGTGTGAGTGTGTGTGTGTGTGTGTGAGTGTGAGTGAGTGGTGGTATCTGGTTGGATATCGCTGTCACTGTCTAGTTACAGTTAGAGCCACAGCTTTAGCATCCCCCTGCTCGGCCTCCTTTGCGGATGAGGTACATAAATTTGAAATCAGAAGCGAATTGATTGCGTTGCCTAAGAGTTTTGTGCTAATGTGTGCACTACCCCACTCTATGTATATGTATGTGTGTGAGTATGTACTTATGTGTGTGTATGTGTGTGTGTCTCGTTAGCGTTTTCATTAGACGCACAAATGAGGAGCCAGCGACTGTCTCATTTCTGATTTCTGTGCTCTTCTGCCCGCCCGGACCGGAGGCTGGGCAGCGGAGGCCATGAGCAGCGGGGGCAAGTCTAGGGGCCGTTAATGGCGATGATGGCGGCGGCATCTGAGTGTCAATTAAAGCAGCAGCCTTTGTTGTTGCTATTGCTATTGCTGCTGCTGCTGCTGGTGGTGGTGTCCGTCTGGGCGGCTCTTTAGCGCATCGTAATTGGGAGCAACGGCTGCGATTGTCAGGGTTGCGGCTCTCACTGTTGACACAACTAATTGGCATTATTTGTTTTAATAATTGAGCATTTTTGGTGATGCTGCCACACGGCGTGGCAGAGATTTAATTAAAATTCTGTACCATAAAGGGTTCCCATATTTCAGTTTCTCTTTTTTTTACGCTCATTGTTTGCTCTTGGCGGAAGCAGCAATTTAATTGAATTTTAATGGCGCGGATTTGAGAGCCGCGTGACCCGTCGAACTTCCGATTGCCGTCGCTAAGCTTGCGACTTAATTAAATGCAAATAAATATTTTGGATTTGCTGTGCAGCCAATTGAGCGCAGCCCGGAGCAATGGCAGCTTCTGCTGTCAGGCTTCAGCTCCGAGCGTGTGTTTAGCGCAGCAAATCCGAAACTTAACTTGGAATTTGTGCGCCTCAAAGCCAGTGGAAATCCGAGATCAGCGCTGGACTAACGCTAGGATCACCAGAGATTGTTCGCTGGACGCGTATTTAATCCAATTATCGATGGCCAGCGCTCGCGGCTCATCAATCCTTTCCTTTCCTTTCCTTTCCTTTCCTTTGCATTCCATTCCTTTCCTCAAACAATTAGATGCTGACTCGATGTTATGAGTAGGCGGTCCATGGGATTAAGCGCGCGTAAGCAATGGGCGCATCCCTCAGCTACCGAAGGTATACGACTTCATAGGCATCGGCATCGGCATCGTGCGGTCCCTATGGCAAGAACAGATTATCGGCATTACCGCAATTATGGAACTTGGGCAGGTCCTGGCGTAATTTCAATGCGGTTTTCCGCCGATAAGCGTGTCCAATCGAACAACACCTCTACCTGGACTGGAGTGTCCGTGACTATAATTTGAATAGAAATGCATTGGCGTAAAATAGGAGAATTCGCGTGAATAAATGAAACAAAAGTTCGCTTAAATGAGTATAATGAATAATATATGAAAAAATACTATAGATCATATATATTATAATAAATAAAAGAATAAATTGAATAACTGTTGAACCACCAA